AAGATGAGTAGGATCCAGCTCTGTAATGTTATTGATATCTGCAGAAGTCTCTTGGTCAGCCATTCTACGGTATTAAAAACAAAACAAAATTGTAAGTCAATACATCATAAATGATCTGGACTCTGAAATTACATTCTTCATTGCACAGAGTACCAGTAATAATAATTATAGTGTTTGGTTTTTTCCAAGGAGTCAATAGAAAGTAGTGCTATTCCAAGGAGTACATTTTGCTAATTTTTTAGAGCATTACTTATTACATTTTAGACCAGTCAGATTTATGCCACTTCAAGGACTGGTGGATTATACTATACTTTAACCTTGTTCTCTGGCTATCTCATTTACAGTGGCAATGAGTGTATCATTGAAAGATTTGAAAGAACAGGTTAAGGTTAGACCATCATGGAGAAAATCAATCTCTCCGGTTGCTAGGAGTAAAAAATGTCTTGATTAATCAATTTGGCTGGGCATAAAATGTAATAAGTAATGCTCTAAAAAATTAGCAAAATGTACTCCTTGGGATAGCACAACTTTCTATTGACTCCTTGGAAAAAAACAAACACCATAATTATTATTACCGGTACTCTGTGCAATGAAGAATGTAATTTCAGAGTCCAGATCATTTATGATGTATTGACTTACAATTTTGTTTTGTTTTTAATACCGTAGAATGGCTGACCAAGAGACTTCTGCAGATATCAATAACATTACAGAGCTGGATCCTACTCATCTTGAGAGTTTTTACCCTCAGTCAAATTTTAATTTTAGCAAAATGATGGAAGAAATGGAGGAAGAATACCGGCAAATTCGCAAGCAACTGCAAAGAGGGTTTAATCCTACAATGAGAAGTGAAGCCAAAAGGTTAAAAACTTTCCTCCTCCTGCCTAGTGGTTGTAAATCATCCTGGGCGCCCTCAGAAATGGCTGCAGCTGGCTTCCATTGGACTAGTGTTAAGACTGCAATACAGTGTTTTTGCTGTGGATTAGTTTTGCTTGCACGAAGTCTTGAAAGGTCACCTTTTGAGGAACATAAAAAGCAATGGTCCAGTTGCGAATTTATTTTAGGCAAAGAGGTTGGTAACATCTCTAAATATGACACTCGAGTACAGAATCCAGAAAACACTTCCCTAGAAGTAAAAAATAAGTACAAAGAAATGGAGTCAAGACTTGAATCCTTCTCCAACTGGCCATTTTATTGCAAAGAGATACAGCCTGCTTTACTAGCTGATGCTGGATTTTTCTTTACAGGTAATCCCAAAGCATATTTATTTTCTAATTTCTAAAATCTTCACACTGCAAAGAGAACATAAAACATTACAGGTTTTTGGTTGAGATGCAAAATTTGGCTAATGGGCTGCTAAACAATACTGCCACAATTTGCTGTCCTGTAATTGTACCACATTTCCAACACTCTGCTGTTGAGAAATATTACCATTTTTATGTTGATCAGTGGCACTATTCCAGGGGTGGGATTCAAATGTTTTTAACTACTGGTTCGGTGGGTGTGGCTTTGTGGGCATGGGGTGGCTTTGTGGGTATGGCTTTGTGGGTGTG